CGATGACGAGGACGAGGACGAGGACGACTCCATTGAGAGCGACTACAGCGAAGGCTTGAACAAGCAAGCGAAAGCCGCAAAGCGAGGAATGGATCGTCCGAGAGAGAAACAACCGGAGTACAATCGGTCATACTCTTATGATGATGATGATGACGACGATGATGACGACGACGACGCCGAAAGCGACGACAGTAGCCAGCCAGCTCCCAAACGGGTCAAACCAATGTCCCCGGTCAAGCAACACAACGACAACAAAGCCACTGCGGACCCCAAAAGACATGTACTGTTTCGAGAAGACGACGTCCTCGTGGGCGGACGTGGTAACCGTCAAAATGCTGGCAATCTATATTGGACGCAACTTGTTCGTGAACGAATGGATGCATACCATAATGATGACCTGTCCGAGCACGACAGCCTAGATATCGTTGATTCCATTTACAGGGACATCTATGCCAGGGGAGGTTGCTTTCGAGACGTTACAACCATGCAGGAACTGCATCGCGAGGATGCCTTGCAAAAGATTGTTGCCAAACTCAAGAGAACCTACATTCGAACCACCAGGAACGACGAAGACGGCAACGATGACGACAATAGCGCAAAGAAGAATCATCAAGTAAGCCCTGTTGCGAGTGTGACTACACGGGGGAGCAGTGACAGTAGCAAAAAACCTCCCCCCAGAGCTGCCAAGTCATTACCCAACCATTTTCATTTCGGAGCCAAAACAACACCCCCCAGAGCTGCCAAAACATCACCGGACAAGTATGGGGCAAGTGCATGCATTGATGATTTTTCAATAAGACCAAATGACGTTGTTTGTGGCTTTGGGCTGGGTCGGTTTAACAAAGCAAAAGGCAATGTCTTGTGCATGACTCTCATAGTTGAGCACCTGGAAGACTACTGTGATCCGGACATTACCAAGGAAGAAAAGAATGACATCTTGGACACAATTTACAGCACTCTCACTAGTGGCAATGGTCGTTTCATTGATTTCCAAAACAAAATGGAGCTCTCCCGTGATGATGCACTTCAAAGACTCAAAAACAAAATGCAATGGGCACGTTGGCAACGGAACAGCGACCGCACGGCACGAGCACAAGAAGCGGTAGCTGCAGAGTTGCCATCTGGCACAACCATCCAAGATTTATCTGCTCAGGTCAAGGTTGGCTCCCAAGTGGCTGTTTTCTGGCCGGAAGATGATCAATACTATGCCGCCACTGTCGTGGAGCACCGTGATTCGTCTACTCACAGGAAACCCTTATATATTGAATACGATGATGGTGATGCTGAATGGATTGACCTGTCCGAGCATGTGTTTCGACCGATTGGGTTTGGCGAAGTCAGCAATGGCACCGGTAGCATTCGAGCCGTTTTTGCTGAGAACGAGAACACTGCCACAAATCAAACAGAAGAGAGAGAAAGAACTGATGTGTGTAATGATACAGAAGCAAATGGCAATGTGGAAGATGCAGTCAATGATGCCAAACCAGGAGCAGAGGGAGGGCCAGGATGGTCCGAACCTTCAAATGAGCAATTGACGGTTGCAAGTGATGGCCAAGCTGCTCCAGCAATTCTGGTCAGTCCCTGGCGTCTCATCAGAGGAACAATGGACGAGAAGCATGCCTGTAGATTGCTGCAAGGCTCGTGTCCAGGCGAAGAACCACAAGACGAAGTTGTGCAGAATCTTTTACAGGACCTGAAAAACGAACGCCAGGAGCTCAAGGATTGGGCTAAAGACAAAATCAAGGCCAAAATGGTTGAAAAAGCGCAAACTCTCTACGGGCTGGAGGCTATAAGTTCCTTTGATGACGTGGTTCAAGCATGGGTACATGATTCATCACCTGAAAATCAACTGAAGATGCATGCCATCATTCATGGACAATTCACCGGTAACTCTGCACAGATAGCTCGGCTGCCCATTCCATGGGTCCTGCAAATGGAGCGGGTCTACATGGAGAAGAAGGGTGTGTGCTATGACAACGTTTGCGACGATGTACAAGCACAATGCTCTGCAGCTAGCTTTCGTCGTCGTCATGGAACTGGGTATGTGTACGATATCATTGCACTGCAGCTCAACTATCAACAGAATGCAGTCAAGTTAAGGGGCAAAGCCAAGCATGGTTTGTACCTGACATCATATCTGAAGGATGTTGGCTACAATGAGCCCCCTGGGAGAAAACGACACGCCTCAAAGAGTGAGTCGGACTTTGGGAAGGAAGCAAAAGCTGCCAAGGTCGCTGGTGAGACGGTGAATACTGGGGGAGAAGAGACTCCATCCAAAGCAGTAACAACAGAAGATGATGAAAAGAATCGGGAGAAGTCACCTGAAAGAGCGTCAGCCAAGATGGTGGAAAAGCAAACAACAACAGGTTGCGATGACTCACTCAACAAACAAGGCCACCAAACCACCGAGGTGATTGCAGAGAGCTTAAGCAAGGTCGAATCACCTATCAGTGCATCAACATCATGCACAACACCTGACCAAACCACCAAGGTGATTGCAGGGAGCTTAAGCAAGGTCGAATCACCTATCAGTGCATCAACATTATGCACAACACCTGACCAAACCACCAAGGTGATTGCAGGGAGCTTAAGCAAGGTCGAATCACCTATCAGTGCATCAGCATCATGCACAACACCTGAATATGGTGCGCCTGGAGAAGGAGCCAGTGGTGCCTTGGTCAGCAACATTGAAGCTGTAATTCAGAAGGTGGCTGTAAGTCGAAATCGGCTTCTCAAAACCTCAATGGGTGAAGAGCATGCAATACAGTTCTTGACTGGTTTGATTTTCCCCAATGCTGAGGCCAAGAGGGATGCAACCAAACAGCTGCTAGAGCAGTTGCATGATGAGCGACATGCCATTAAGGCATGGGCCAAGAATGAGATAGAGGGGGCTATGGTTGAAAAAGCATGCGAGCTTGGGTTTGACAAAGTCACCACGTATGATGATTTGGTGCAGTCCTGGATGGGTGATGCATCCGCAGAAAACCAAAAATGGATCCAATTGGTCATGTATGAGCTATGTTCAGTGGGTAGTGATAACACAAAACCCCACAAGCCCATACAATGGGTGCTTCAGATGGCTGACAGATTCATGGAAGAGAACCATCTGGTGTACTCAGAAGCCAATGGCAACATCCACACAACGTCACAGCATGGATATGTTTATGACATTGTTTCAGTTGCACTTGATGAAATCAGGCAAGAGGTCAAGATGCGTGGGAAGAAACAACATGGAGGTTGGTTGGATCCTCCAAAACCTTCAGTCAAGACGGGCACCAATCTTGATGCAGAGGCCAATGTTCCCGATGAGCAATTCTCACAGCCAAATACTACTGTGGCACATTGTCATTCCAGGCCAGTCCTTCCGGAATCTTCCACCTCCACATCTTCATCGGAACTTGCCAATTCCACAAGGGATATGATTGGAGATACAACAACAAACACCTTGCCAAGGAGGGTTGCCAATCATTCAAAGAGCAAAGCAGCCTTGCCATTGCCAATGAATCAGAATGATGTGGTCGCTCCATCGAGTTATGTGATACAACGAAAAGCACAGGATGCTGGGAAACAACTGGCAACTGTTCCATTAGGATCTGGAAAGCCTGAAGTTTCTGCTGATTGGTCCTCACCTGTGGAGGAAGCAACAATGGCTTTGCAGTTGCAGGTTAGGCAGAGGGAGACACATCAGCAACAGAAGAACTGGAGTCTGAAAGAGGTGGTTGTGGTGGCTGGACTTTGTCTGGCAATAGCTGTGATCCCAGCAGTGAAATTTCTTTTGAAGAATGGATAGGATCAAGGCTTGTCTTTTGTGGACAGTCAATCTTGAGTTCAGCCAAAGCTGCACAAAGTGGAGAGGAAGACAACATTGGGCACCTACCTAGTTCCACAGGAAGCCAACCGTTGGCCCAAGCAGCTAGGTGTTTAATGGAGCACAATTTTGGGCCAAGCATCTAGCCAGCTAGCTAGGAGCATAGAGTACAATTTTCTATCGTATGACCACTTATTACCTTCCGCATACTTAAGCGCTTAGTTTTGCTTTGCAACTTGCCTTTCTTCGTAGCTAGCTGACCTATTGCTCCCAGCCTGCCACATCAAGCAGCAGTTTCTTGGAAGAGTTTTAGGGGGGGTTAGGCAGCAGCGCGGGGGAGGGAAAAGAAAAGAGAAAGGGAGAGGGTTATCTGTTGGATTCCTGATTCCGAATGTCGGCATGCGTGTCAGTTGATAAAAGAAGAACCGAAGTCATGCACGACCAACAAGATATAACAAACGAGGGGATATGGCAAAGACCAAGTCATCTCCCCCCTCTCAATATATCGAATATGTCCGAAGAACAAAGAAAGTGTCAGGTTTCGTGCGTCACAGGTCCGTCACGAAGCCTTGGTCTCACACTTTATCTCACAATTCAAATTGTCAACGGATACCTTCTGGCTCGCTCTTTCCCAATCCTTGGCTGACACCAAACCCTCCCACAATTCGAAATTTCGGCATCCCTCAACCACACCAAACAGCAACAACAACAACTCGACAGTTGGTAGACGAACAACAAGATAACAACGTCGAACAGCACCACCACCACTACTCCCTTGTGCTCACACGAGAGCGACCGACACGAGAGCGACCGACCTTCGTTTGCCTTGAAGCCAGTGCCTACTTCGGTAGGGGCAAGACTCTTGGCAACAACAGCTCACACGAAAGGCGACAACTCGACAATGAGGATCGCAACTACACCGGTCTTCTCACAGTGGCTGCTGAGTGTTGCTAATGCATACCCATTCAATGAGCTGAGGGCAACAAGGCATGGATTCACCTGCAAGTATGTCATTTGTGGGTACAACAGCGACGAGGAGGACAACTTCTGTTTGCCCACAACAAGCATGGAAGTGACGGTTCTTGAGGAGTTGATATTGCAAGGAGCAGGCAAGCCTCTTCCTCCTGATATGACAGGCATCATGGACTACATGTTTGAATGGGGACGCCAGGATAGTCCACAATGGTACCGTGCTGTTGTTGCTACCCTTTCTGAAATGCTGGAGGGTCCACATCCCTGTGAAAGGAAGGACATCTTTATGGAGTGCATCTATTGGTTAGCAAAGGATAGGATCACTGAGGAGTATGACTTGGGCTCCATTGAAGGCCAGATTTGCATGGATGCTTGGCATGGGTATTGCATCCAGTGGTACCAACCCAAATTTTCCTTCAAGGACTATTGTATGATGAATCATGAGTTTGTGATGTTGTGCATGGAAGACCTGAAGTATAATGGAGGCCTGAGACCCCAATTGGCTATGTTTATTGATGGCAACAACCAACAAGGACTTTGAATGTAAGTTACTTGCTAAATTAGAAATGAATCGGATGCACCTAAATATTTATTGCTGTTCTTATGCCAGATATCCATTCAATCGAGTTTGACAGGTGGCATCATGAGGTGGTCTTCCTCTCCTGTTGGTCAACCACTGGCAATATCTCTGACAGCAGCCATTCGGTGGAGGAGGTGGCTGGAAAGGATATGGCAGTATGGGTTGGAATGTCCGCATGTGCATGGCAAGTTGCATCATTTGAATTTGTTGTTGTTGCTGGTATAGAATCAAATTACCAAGATAAGCATTTCTTGTTTGTGGCACTGCAGGTGGTGGTGGTGGTGGTGGTGGTGGCGGCGGTGTAACCATTGCTGTTGCAGTTGGTGGATCGATTGCTGGTGGATCGATTGCTGGTGGTGGATTTGGTGGCTCGATTGCTGGTGGAGTCGGTGGTTCTGGTGCTGTACAAGCCACACACAAACAACAATCATTTGGTGCATACTTTTGTCTCTGTGGTTTGAATGCAACAATGAACTCTGAAAAGAACCTCTCTCCATTATCCTGTGGCAGTGGCTCTGCATTTGGGAATGGTTCATTGAGACCCACAGCCACTGCTAGCTCATTGAGGTAAGCCAATTCTGAATGGTTCCAGTATGGAACAACCTTTTCCCATCCAGCTGGAATTGACCTCCTTTCTTCCAGACTGATTCTTGACAGGAAGGCTCTCTTGTGTCGAATGTTGAGG